ATACGAAATGATGCTGATGTTTGCACTTGTGAGAAAACCATCATTTGTCAGGCCAGGTATTACTCACAGACTTACTTGCTTATTCTAATATGTTTTGCTTTTAGTTGACTTTCTAGCAGTGGATTGATGTATTTTAACTTCAGCTTGCTTTGTGTTTAAGAAAGCAGCTTTAGGCTATAACTGCATAATGTAGCAGTCTTCGCAGAAGTGTTGCTTTACGGAGTTTTCTTGGTGCCGCCTTGCCGAGGTGTGCTACCGCGGCAGTTATGGTGACAGGCAGCTGTCCCTGCAGTAAGTTGGGGGTTTGCTTGGAAGAGGCAGGATGCTGCAGCGCCGGGGGGGAGGCAGGAACCCTGTCAGCCAGCTCTGCTGCTGGGCCTCCTCCCGCCACCTCCCTCTGCTTTCAGGGAGGCTGCAGCCTGTGTTCGCGGGTCTCCCAAGAGGGTTGTAAAATGCAGCAGGTTTTTTACAGTTCTGGCAAATTTAAGCAATTGCTGCAGCTGTTTTTTCGACATTGTCGACAGTCTTAAATGAACTTACTGCAGTACACCCATCAAGAGTTAACGAAAGCAGCTACAGTAAAATCTCGTTCATCACTAGGGGTAGGAAATTGCCCGATAGCATGTTACAGCTTACTGATTTTTGGTGTGGACCAGTCCAGAAAAATTGGACCATCTGCTTGCATCATCAGTTGGTTTGAATTTAAGAGCAGAGTCTTCCATGATCGGAACTGCACTGTGACTATTTGAGACTTGTGAGTAAAATGATGGTCACATTGTAGTTGGCTATCAACTCAGTCCTTCAGCCTGCCAGTACTGAGTGTCGGTCCTTCCATACGCTAGCAGAATGAAGTGTACCCTTCATGTTACACAAGGTCTTGTTTGCTCAGTTGCCTCCTTGCCCTGTGGGAGATGCAAGTCTTAGGCCTCCTCTGTCTCATAACATGTACAGGGAAAGCCAACTGAAACAATCTGTGTAGTTCAGTCAGACAAGGTTGGAATAGAAGCAGAAATCCCATGCTATCTCACAACTGGGTTTTGTAGCTGTTAACCACTGGCAAATTGATTTAAACCTAAATGTCAAAGTTTGAAGATTGGGTTTCTTGTATGTGTACAGCAAAAGCTATAGGTGTCAGAAGCTTGGTCAATTTCCTTGACTCGATCAAAGATTATTAGTCACTTGCTTTAAAAAGTTGGTATTGTATACATACTGCTAGAATATGCTGTTCATTGACGTGATCTCAGAAATTTGGTACATTTTGGTTTTCAAAGGTTGTTACAGGTATAATTCTGAGCTTTATTTCCCTAAAATATTGACATAATTGGGTAAAGCTTAAAAGATCTTTGAACTGGAAGAGGCTTTAGTGACCTTAAGGGTTAGACTGATTTAGTTTTTATTAAGATTATCATCACCTTTGGCTGTTGTAGACTAAAAGAAATTCAAGAGTGACTTCCAGCCACCATTGCAAGTACACTCTTGGAGAGTTGTTATATTTTGTGTCATGTGGCTAGTAGTCCAGTCAGATAAAATAATGATAGCAGAATACCAGAAGGAATGTTCTTAAAATTACTAATAGCATTCATCTTGAATCTTCATTATCTTTGGTAGACCAAGTTTGAGTAGACTATAATAGCGACTCAGAGGTTATGAATGCAAATAAAGGTCCTGGTAGCATAGGTTAAGGTTTTGGCTAATTTAGTTGTTTTGTTGTTGACTTAAATTATAAGGAAATAATAGAATAAGAAGACAAAATTTTAAACTGCTCCTTACTTAGCTATGACAGAAAAAAGGGTTTAATACTGGGGAGGGTTTTTTTTTTTTGGCATATTACGAAATAAACTAGAGAGAGAATAAGTGAGATACCCATACAGCATATTCCTTCTCCATGAGACTTGAGAAATGCTGCATTTAATCAGCCTGGAACAGATCCACAGAAATCTTTATTTCTTCTTCAGGCTTGTTATCTTTGATGTTGTAAGTATATTATGACTTTAAGACTAGTTGTTAGACTTACTGAATTTAATACTTGGCCTTTATTATGGTTTTCTATAAAGGTTTCTCTACAAGTCATTTTGCGATTAACTTTTCATGTAAAAGCAAATGGCACAATACATGTGACCCACTTTACAATGCTTCAAAGAAAACCCAATTTCTAATAAGCAGTGTTCATTAAATATTACTTGCCATTCCTTTTCTTTTAACTGAATTTAAAAAGTCAAGTAGTACTCAGTATAGAAGAGGTGGGATTCTTTTTCCTCCCTTTCAAGTAATCTAGCACCTCTTAGGTCTATGATTTTTTTTTTTTTTTTTAATCCAATTAACATTATAAATAAAAGGCTTTCATGCTGAGATTTGTATCATTTTCTGCTTATTACATCACATGCCATCACAGCAATTTTTGAATGCCCTGAGCAGCCATTCTTACAGGATCTTCTTTTTGGCTTAACTGTTTTGCTTACCTGTCCCAAAGCTAGTAGTACTTTTTGACTGCTGTTTCCATCTCAATGTCTGGTTGATTTGGGGTTTTTTGGGTTTTTTTTGCTTGTGTGCCCTTGTCATTGTCTTTGAAGGTGTCTCATAACTTTATCTCTCTGTTTTCCATGGAATTACAGTTTGCCACACCTTGCAACATGTTCTAGGATTTTCCAACTTGTCAAACTTGAATGGGTTTTTTTACCTCAATATTTTACTTTGTCTTTCCTTTCTTAAAACTATGGTATCAGCTTGTTTTATCAATGTTTAACAAACACCATTTTGTTAGTTTGGTTGGGGAGTGTGCTTTCGAAGTCTGTCTCCCCAGTGTCCCCACTTCTGCATGCTGTGGTTTGCGTTGCAGAGCAGTCTTGGTGTGAGTGAATTTGATTCCTTCTGGATCAAAATAGGCTGGAAGAGATGCTCCAGGAGTGCACCAAGCATGTTCCACTCACTAATGGGCAACCAGTCCATGGCATCAGGTGTTTTAGTCACGGCTAACTCTAGTTAGAAATGCATACAGTATGTATGTTAGGCCCTCAGGACTAACTTTTTTGTTTTACAAATGCAGTTCTCTCTGTCGACATTACTTGCTGATGTAGATGTGGCCTGTGAACTTTGCTATCTGAGTGCTGAGCTGAAGCCACTGGTAGTTATTTAAAATGTTCTTTTGTTCACAGCCAGCTCTTCACTTAAGAAAGGAGAACTTCGGTCCAGTTTGGCATATATTTTAGTTATATCTTTTTATGCAGGAAGTTTTTGTCTTAGTATTTCAAACCTCTTGTGTATGTAAGTGTGGTTGTTTATTGCTGTAATTACTTACTATCAAATATATGCACTTTGTTCAAAATATGTGTGAGTATATAGTATTTTGGGGTGATATTTCTGATACATTTTCTGATGGTCTACAGTAATTGCCTGCTGTAATTTCTCTTCTCATGCCTTCTGTATGAATTCAAAAAATCATAACTACTCTGTGATTTACAGACATGAATACTACTTTTGATATTTAGTGTCTACACTGCATGTCTTCTTTCTCATTTCTACCATCTAGATTTGGCCCCAGTATAGACAACTAGCAGACTCAGTTTATAAGGTTTGTTTGAGTTTTACATCTGTCTAGATTAAGTCAACAAAGCAATTTGCGATTTATCACAGTAAAAGTTATTTTGATTTGAATTCTTTACTCTCAAGTTGAAAAAGCTTGAAATCCCCTTATGTGTAAGAATCCAGACATTCCTTTCCTTGAAACCATACCAAAATTCAATCCGAGTCCAGATTACTGCACTAAACAAGCAGACATTTGCCCATGGGTTACCAAGTATGAGTAGCGTACTCTGTTGTGAGCTGGATAGATTAGGTCAACTAACACCTCTTCTTGCTCCAAGGAACAATCAGCTATACCTAATGTTGATGAACATCTAATCTGTTCTTTAAAAACATCCAGGAATGGATGTTCCACTGCTTAACTGTCCTTAAGATTGCAAAGGGCTTTTTTTCCCCAAATCTTTAGCCTAAATCTCCCGTTTCTCAAATTTATTAATACTTTCCATTTCTGCAGCAGCATGGAGAGTAGTTTATTCTTTTCCTCTTACAGCAATGACTGGAAGTCGGGTGTCATGTCCTTACCTTAGTTGCCTTCTTTTTGGAATATGCAAACCCAAATCTCAATCTTTCTTCGCAGAAAGGAAAAACTACTTTTAGGAAAAACAAAGCTGATAATGCCTATGCGCTTTTAGATTGGTAGCTGTCAGTCATTAAGCAATGAATTTTTTTAGATCTTGCTCTTCTCGAGAGTCTCTTCAGTTTGTCACATTTCTTGTGTGATGTCTGAAAGTTCACAAAGTTTTAATGGAAATATTTGGTTAATATGTGGTGTCTCTAAAGTGGGCATAATAGAACAGGAAAGATTACTTCTGACATTTGTACATCTTACCTATTCATATGGTGTCTACAAGCATGAAGCTAGCTCTTAGGGAGGTACATTATAATTTTAACATTGGAATCTTATCTGAAGTTCTTATCTGTTTCTGTATACCTGCTGCTACCTAGCCACTCATTTCCCACCTTTTGCTATTGTAACTGATAGTATGAAACTTTGCGCTCGCTGTTATTACATTGAACAGGGATTGATCTGCTTGTATGATGCATGTTTTGCAGGGGAAAAAAAACCCTCTATCTGATTTAAATAACTGAGTATATCTTCTTCTGTAAAGATGGGTCTCTTAGCTACAAGGGTAGAAAAACTGAAAGCCTTTAGGTCTTCTTCCTCTATGCTATTTGTCGCAAATAAAAGAAAGTCTGTTTTTATACATATAAAGTAATCCATTTTTATTGACATGTAATATACTGTTACAGTTGTTACTGTGCAGATATTTTGGGGAGTTTCTAAAACTTTTCATGACTTAAAAGGAGTTTTCAGTTGCTGTCTTGGCTTTCTTGGCAAAACAATATACTGTTGTAAACTTTCAGAGCAAGATAGTGCAATATCTTTGTGTTTTTAATAACCTTTTATTCTTACATTTTAGATGCTGGCATCACCATCAACATCAGGTCAGCTGTCTCAGTTTGGGGCAAGTTTATACGGGCAACAAAGTAAGAATTCTTTTTATTGATGATATACTTATTTTATGCTAAACATGTTCTATTTTCATGCTCTTCGGATAGAGAACATGCATATGGCTTGTTTTCTGGTGTTTTTGACGTTTCATGGTGCACCCTTGTGACCAGGAAAACCATTCAGCCATCTGAACTGCTCCCAAGGGCAAGGAAGGCATTGTGAAGGCTGTGTGCCTGCTGCTACCTAGCCACTCATTTCCCACCTTTTGCTATTGTAACTGATAGTATGAAACTTTGCGCTCGCTGTTATTACATTGAACAGGGATTGATCTGCTTGTATGATGCATGTTTTGCAGGGGAAAAAAAACCCTCTATCTGATTTAAATAACTGAGTATATCTTCTTCTGTAAAGATGGGTCTCTTAGCTACAAGGGTAGAAAAACTGAAAGCCTTTAGGTCTTCTTCCTCTATGCTATTTGTCGCAAATAAAAGAAAGTCTGTTTTTATACATATAAAGTAATCCATTTTTATTGACATGTAATATACTGTTACAGTTGTTACTGTGCAGATATTTTGGGGAGTTTCTAAAACTTTTCATGACTTAAAAGGAGTTTTCAGTTGCTGTCTTGGCTTTCTTGGCAAAACAATATACTGTTGTAAACTTTCAGAGCAAGATAGTGCAATATCTTTGTGTTTTTAATAACCTTTTATTCTTACATTTTAGATGCTGGCATCACCATCAACATCAGGTCAGCTGTCTCAGTTTGGGGCAAGTTTATACGGGCAACAAAGTAAGAATTCTTTTTATTGATGATATACTTATTTTATGCTAAACATGTTCTATTTTCATGCTCTTCGGATAGAGAACATGCATATGGCTTTGTTTTCTGGTGATTGTAAAAAAAAAAAGTGTCTCTCCTTATTTGCGTAATTTTTTTTAAGATACACTTTTGCTTTGCTTACTATGCATTTTTGCAGTATTTAGTATGCAAAGTGTCATACATTGACACTGTATAGCTGTTAAATATCCAAATATAATCATCCTATAAAGAACATCTATGACTTAACTGTGACCCTCTGAAGGAAAAACTAAGTAAAGTGAGCTGGGCCAAAATGAGCCTAGTTCAGAAAAATGTGTAAGGAATAGAAGGAAATTATACCTTAAATTATAACTGATATTTCATGCTCTACAGGAGCAAATTCAATCTTGTGTACATGCTTGGCAACTCGCATTTGGCAAAGAACTATGCCAGTAAGATTATTGCCTTCTGCACCACTGTTTTTCTTTCCCGTACCCTGAAGGTTGTTTTCTGTATCTGCCAGTCTTGTGTATACTGTTGCAATAGAAGACCTGTAAAGCAGCAGTCACAGTGTGTAACGCTAGCTGCCTAACTTAAGGGCCAGCGTTGAGAACTGAACCTCCTTGTAGTTGAGACGTGCATCCAGAAAGTGACTCAGAATATCTGAGCTGGATACAGTTACACAAGTAAAACGGGTTTGTGAACATCTCTGTCTTATCGCTGTACACTTTTGAATGTTTGCAACTTTCTTGCCAAGTGCATCTGATTTGGATTCTAAGAAAAAGTGTCTTCGGAGTACTTTAGAGAGTGTGGACTTTTTTATCTGGACAAACTAAAAGCTTTGTCTGCTAGATGCATGGCCTTCACGACTTCTTTCGGCTTTCTTCAAATAGTTTAAAAAATATAGTGATTTTTTTTACTATCTCAGTGGCTGTTGATGAGTGATCAATGTCAAACTGATATTTGATTATGCTACTGAGATTTATATGAGCAATCTGGCCAGTCTGAGAGTCATGTTTGGCTCTTGGCTTTTTGGGTCATGAATCTGGCACTATTGAACCTTTCAGACTTAACTGTATAAAGATACTGAAGTAGATTATTCATTCTGTTTATCACAGTTATTTGTTGTTTATTTTTAAGGTTAACTGTTTTCATCAACTTTGTTGTTCATTCAGTTGGTTGTGGTGCCTAGGACATAATCTCTCTAACATGGAGACATGCATGGCTAAAAACTAGAAAGTAAATATTATCGAGGTTCAGTTTCTACCAAATACTGAGAAAAAGGGGCAAGAAACTTCTCTGTTCAAGTCAGTGCTTATGATTAAAATACTTTTAGGAAAAACAAAGCTGATAATGCCTATGCGCTTTTAGATTGGTAGCTGTCAGTCATTAAGCAAGATGTCATGTTATGGAGTTAATGTAACTTAAACTTAACTATTAGGCAGGAAATGGGCCACTTCATTGATAGGTCTCCAATATAGCCCATGCAGATCTCTTGTCTCAGTTAAAAAAGTGGAACAGGGAAGCATAAGAAAAAAAGGTTTTTTTTTCTTATGGGGAATATTTCAACTGCCCCTACTTGCCAGCCGCAGGAATATGGTTCTACTTCACTGTAACAGCCCTACTTGTTAAAAATTCTAGTTTAAAGAAAGCCAACAACAAGAAATAACCATCAGTGTAAAACTGGCTTTGCTGAAACAAATACTTGCACAAAATTAACCTGAATATTGTAATCATGTTTTTCAGTGTACTGTATCTAGTTTGGAAGTGTATGTATTTATTTCTTTACCATTTTATTTTTAAAATTCCATGTAATTGTTAATCAGCGTGAAATATTATTTATAATATATATTTATGCTCATTGAAATTATTCTGATGCAGCAAATTGCCAAAATATTTACAGTGAACACCTTGATATAATCAGCATTTAATGAAGTCTTAGGAGGCTTGTTATAGCAAGTCAACACTACCTCTTTGAATGTATAGAGATAAATTTGAGTGTTAGCAAAACTTTGTTATTGCAAACTTCCTGGATTGCAGATTGTAGGGTAGGACATGGACAGACAGCAGTTCTTAGTGTGAGAGCTAAATGGGAGGTTTCTTCAGACCTTGTCCATGATAATAACCTGAGCATATGCAATGTCCATTCTTCGCATTCTTAGTGTTTAATCACGTTAGACCCTGGCATATTCAGGTCTTCTGCAGGGGTGATCTACCATGGGAGAGTGCTGATTCATTATAATTTTTCTTTTGTTTGGTCTGCAAGATAAGGTTTTGAGTTCTGTGAGTCTACCTCAGCAGCCTTATGCCAAAGCAATAGGGACCGTTACTTACAGCTATCACATTTTATATGCTAAGTTTGTTTCTATTGATACATTGCACTAAATGACGTTTTCTTGTCTTTGAACATCATTCTGAAACTTCATAAACACAGAAAAGCGATGTGAGAATGATGATAAACTTCTTCATAAAGTTTTTGGACATTTTGAGACAGGGCAGCAACTGGTTATCTTTTGCTGTTCTGAGTTAAAGTAATTTCTTTTTTTACCTCACTGAAGTGCTTACTTTATTCTGTCACACACAATTGTTTGTGCAGAAAATACTTTTGATCACAATGTTAAAAATCCTCTGTATATTTTTAAATGCTAATAGAGGGCGGTTAAAATTCTGCTTGCTTGCTTTTCTCAAAAGATTGAACTTGACTTGATCACGGACACTGAAGCTCTGTTATCAAAAAGAAGCAACTTAAACTTTACAGAGAACTGGCCTAAAATGTTGGTTTTGTTGTCCTAAAAGCAATGTTATTGTTAACTAAATATTCATGACTTTCTTTTTTTGTTAAAGGTTTGCTTAATTTTTAACAAAACAAATCAGTGTTCTAAATACTGGCCAAATATATACCAGTTTATTCAGAAGTAATTAACGTGTGCAGTTACTAATTTTCTCAAAATGCTGCCTTTTTTGAGATAATTTGTAGATTTTCATGTCCTCATCAAAAAACTCAAAACTGAACCCTTTCTCTACAGTATACATCTCAAAGGAAACCAAATTTTGTTAGTGACTCAAATACAGAAATTCCTTGAAGAGCCTTTCTAAAGTTTAACAGAAATGGGGCTAAATTTGAGATAAATTGGTTTCTACTATGCAAACAAGGACTTAGTTTTTACACTGCACTTTCCTTCAGTCTTTACACTTTTTTGTAGGTTGTCAGCATAAATTGTTTCCATCTACACCTGATGGAGAAGACTTTGTTCCTGATTGCTCTATATCTCCACCCCTCTGAATTTTTTTTCAATAGGTGCACTAGGCCTTCCAATGAGGGGAATGAGCAACAATACCCCTCAGTTAAATCGCAGCTTATCACAAGGCACTCAGTTACCGAGCCACGTAACGCCAACAACAGGGGTACCAACAATGTCACTTCACACGCCTCCATCTCCGAGCAGGTATTTATTGATAGCCAATATTTCTGCGATTGTGTCTTTCTGCAGAGCTCTTGTTAAATGTTCTGCATATTTTGCCTCAAGTACTTTACAGTCTGATTAATTAAAAAAGAAGAAAAGTAGTTTCTGTTGACCACTGCCTGTGTTAGGGAAATAATACTGTAAAATAGTAAGGACTTACTGTAAGACAGTATTTGATTTTTGTATGTAAAGGACAAATTGCTGGCAAATTCTGCTTCAGAATGTAAGAGGCTGTTTTTCGATTGTTCTGGTAAATGTACGGTTAAAATTTTTGTATGGATGTCATATACCTTGTAAGAATATTAAGGTAGTAGGTCTGAAGTGCTCATTAAAAAAAAGAGCTGTAACACCTTTTCAAATGCATAATACTTAAGTATTTCTCCAAACGTGACCAAGGACTTGATTAGTATGTAATGGTTCATCTGGTATTTCTGAAGAAATCAAAACCTACATTAATTATAGAGAGTAATCCAAACATGATGTATTGACGCTAAGCACAAATTAAGTTGCAACAGCTCAGAGTCCATCCTACGTTAGTAATCGAAATGAGTAACCAAATACTATAGTACAGATTCATCTCTGTGGATGGTTTTTCTCTTTCAGGGGGATATTGCCTATGAATCCTAGGAATATGATGAACCACTCCCAGGTTGGTCAGGGCATTGGAATTCCCAGCAGGACAAACAGCATGAGCAGTTCAGGGTTAGGCAGCCCCAACAGAAGCTCTCCAAGCATAATATGTATGCCAAAGCAGCAACCCTCTCGACAACCTTTTACTGTGAACAGGTAAGGCTGTTTAGTTGGACCATCCCCGTACAGCCATGGACATGCTTAAATGCTGCTCTAGAAGTCTAATTTTTATCCATTAGAATAAAGCTGGAAAGCTGCTTTGTGTGTTCTCATCTCCTGGCAATAAACTTTGAAGCTGCTTTTAACTTTCACGCAAGCTTTTTGAGGCCTTTAAGCTAAATTCTGTTTCTGACTATTGAATTTCTACTGCTGCTTCTTTAAAATGTGACGTTTCTCATGTGTTCCCAAGTTTGTTTTTGAAACATCTTGATTTTGGGGTATATGCATCCATTTTAAGACTGTTCTTCTATGAGTTTGGGAAGAAGTAAGGCAAGATTTAAAAGCACAATAGTTATTCTGGAAGAACAGTTAACTGATTCAGACACAGTAGGGACCTAGTATTTTACTTCTTTAAATTCTGGAATAATATAGAGAACAGTGGTTTGACATTCATTTAAGGATTTGGTGCTCGTTTGGATGCCAAAAGCTTCTCAATCATTTCTGCTCTTTTTCTAACTCTGGGCAAGATTCTAACATAATGAATCATTAGGCTTTAACTGTGTTTTGGTTCTATGTTTATGCTTAGTTCATACTGATAAACTTGTAGTAAAAAGCGTGTTGATTCTAATTATTTAATGTGTGTAGTCAGAGCTTTGAACAGCTGACTACTTTCCAGGCTTCATTCTACAACCTCACTATCTCTGTGCTCCCGGTTTCATCCTTTTTCTCCCTTCGGGCCCTTCCTTAGGGGACTGACTCTTACACGGAGCACAAACAAGCTCATGGCAGTCAGGTGCCACCTCTGACCCAATCTAGTATTTTACAAAATGGATAAAGGAAGGTGAAAACTAACGTCACGGTTATCTGAAACTTGGTCAGGCTTTTAGTTCTGTAGTTTCACACTGATAGAGGCATAAAAATGCTTTTCTCAATCACAGCAATAGAGATTTGATAGTAGTGGTTTATGTTCTTGGAGTGTGAGAAGATACTGTACCTGGCCTCTGATTACACAGAATTTGCCTTTTCTTTCCTGGCATGTATAGCGGCAAGTAAAGGAGATGATAATTTAAAAAGATAATTTTTGAAACTTGAGCATCACAAAAGGTGAAATAGTAATATACTTAAAAACTCTACATGCAGAGGACAATGATTTTGGAGACTGATATATGTGTAAAAGTGCTTGTTTAAGTATCATTCAGCTGTAGGGTAGATAATGAAATCCCTGTCTGTAGGAGCATTTGAATTAAAATCCTCATCTTTCACTGTTTGCATTGTATATCTCATTTTCAAGAAGCTACAATTTTTACAAGTTGAGAAGGAAATATCACTGGAACAATGACAAGTTCCTATTATTAGCCTACAGAAGTATAATAGTAGTACATATCCAATTGTTAATTGATATATTTCACAAAATTTTGAAATTATACTTGGAAAACAAAATTTTGGTGTTTCCTTGACAGGTGCGTGAATTATGTCACTTCCAAGAAGTGTTTTCTGAATGGTTGCCTTAGCTGGAGCAATGAAAGTTTTTAGGTTTTTGAACATAAAAAATTCTTCACTTTCCCTTTCTTAGTTACATTGGTAAAAAAGGTTACAAATAATTGTACAGAGGTATGCATTTTGGGGCCTAGTCCCTTTCGTACCTCTGAAATTCTTAACATGGTTATTTCTAATTACTTTAAAAGCAAACAAAAAACCCCTTGCATGAGAAATACTGTCTGTCATCTGGCTAGATTATATGCCCTCAAGATCAAGTTGTCTCCTGTTGGTGCTTTCACCAGGTCTAGAATTCACAGATGATACCAGGAATGTGTTTCTTCAGATGCATGAGGTGTCAAAGATCTGGATGTCTTTCAAATACACCACCTTGGGGAAGCAAAGCGGGACAGGACCAGTCTTGGCTAACTGTTCCCTTTCTTGATGTCTCAATCCGAAATGAAGCATTTAGGGCTATTTCAAATTGGAATGAAAGGTTTCAGATTTGTAACTGTGGAAAAAGTCCGTGTAGGTAAAATTTCCACTAGGAAAACATTTGACATTTTTATTTACGGAAACTTCTAAAACATCAACTTCCATCCTGTTACAGGGGAAAAATGAATGTTGTGGGAAATGTGCGAAACCACAGGGCAGAAATTCAGAATTTCACTCAGCTGGGGCCTACCTTTGGGCTTCTCAACATCTCTAGCTCACACAGAATGAAGCAGATGATTTGCGAGGGTGTCTTTCCATCCACAGTAGTCCTATATGATACTTAGATGTCTTCAAACATTTTTGCCTGACTGTATGAAACTTTAATTTAGCTGGTGTCCTTGTGTGGCAGAGACCATCCCGATGCTCGTAATAGTGCCATATGTATGTGGTGATGATTGCACACCATAACTGTTCAGCTTATAACTGAGTCATGACAAACTTGATCACTTCCATGATCCAGCTTCCCACCTGCAAATGAATGGATTGCAGTCTGACTTTTCACTGTTGCATTTACTGCTGCCTCATTTTTCTATATGAAATTATTGAGCAACGATCATGTTTGTCATACCTTGTTGGTTGACAGATGTCTTAAGACACAGTGGCTATTAAAAAAGTAAGTTCTTTTGAAGTCATTCCAGTTGTCTTGATTGAGCAGTGCCTGCTGCTGCTCAGAGTTTTCAGAAGTATAAAGGAAAATAATTAAAAACTGAGTTTAGGCTAATGTGGGTTGCTTAAGCTTGAAATAATTTAAGTGTCTTAGGGGTTTTTTTCCCCCTTAATGCCTTCCACTGGAAATTAAAAAATATGTGTACCCTTTTGTCTGACTTCCTGGATTTTTTTTTCACAGTATGTCTGGATTTGGGATGAACAGAAATCAGGCATTTGGAATGAATAACTCCTTATCAAGTAACATTTTTAATGGAACAGGTGAGTTTACTCAAATTAATGGTGATCTTAAAGTACAGTAGGGAGATTTTTTGACTAAATAAGTCTAATTGAAAATACTTTGTTCTGTTGGAGTGCAACTTTGTTACAATTTTCAGTTGTTCCATCGAAATGCTGCTCCAAGAGCGGTGCTATGAAACTGTTACTACTTTGTAACAGTGGATTTTAATAGTTCTGAAGTCAAAGTGAAAGTATTCTGCAGAATACCTACTGTACATCACATGACTATAGATTATACCTCGTCGGTTAGAAATTCAAAACAGTTTATGGAATTATTCCAATTATGGAAAAGGGTATCGGAGAAGAAAAGATTTATCCATTTTCTATGAAAACATTATATAGGGTAAAAAGAGTGGGAAAGCATTTTCTGAAATCCCAAACTCCTTTTGAAGAGCTGGTTTATAATGTGATCCTTTCAATCGGTTGTTTCAGTTGTGATTTTTCTCTGGGAATTACTTCTTCACCTGAATTTAATGAACTAGAGAGGGGAAAATATCCTTGTGCATAAATGCCTTAGGTTTGTCCGTGCTGATGTTTCTGTAGGCGGCTGTGAAGCAACTTGAGGTGCTGGTGACATCACAGAGTGGAAGGGTTTGGGCATCCCCTAGGGCCTTGTGACATCTTTATAGAGCCGCCGCTCTGGCCTTGCCTGTGTAGTATTTTTGCAAATCAAAAACTGTTCCCATGTAACTTGCACTGCATTGGCTCTGCAGCTGCTTCAGCTGTATCTTACCTTATCTAAGGACAAAAGAGCTCCTTGATGCTGCTGCTAATATGGGTTATTATCTTCTCTCAAATTTCTTCTTGATAGCTCCTTAAATTTTAAACAGGCTACCAATCCTAGTAGTGTAATTTTGATAGTCTGCCTGTATTTTCTGTGCGCAGTCTTTAATTCAAAATTAGTAGACCTTGTTACTAAATACTGTTGACTAGCTATTGTTTAAAAACAAACCCCAAACATCTTGATGCTCTTTAAGCTAGTCTCATAACACAGAGGCTGTACTTATTTGTAATAATTATAGTAGGAGTAAAAAGATCAACTTGAAGAAAGAAAATATATCCTACATTTATCTTGAACATAATGAAGTCTTTGAATAAAAAAACGTAAGGGAATTTAAAATACCTGTTTTTATTGTAGATGGAAGTGAAAATGTGACAGGACTGGACCTCTCAGATTTTCCAGCACTAGCAGACAGAAACAGAAGGGAAGGAAGTGGCAATCCAACTCCATTAATAAACCCTTTAGCTGGAAGGGCACCCTATGGTAAGACTATACTTTTGAAAGCTCTTTGAATGAAATTGGTATTTGCTTGATTCACCTTTTGCAGTTCATAAGACAATAGGTAGTCTTTTCAAAAATGCCCGTCACTCGAGCTCCTAAGTCATTTTTTAAAATAAATAATCAATATCTCTCTGATTGGAGATTCCCCTCAGGCTTTTGTAAGTATTAGAGCTCATCTGCTTTAGTTTCACCATCAATAGAGGTTGTTGGGGTTTTCAGTCTGTATAGTACTATTACTCCGAAGCTGCTCACTCTAGACATTTCTTAGGCAGTAGGTTGTTTTCTGATTGCATGTATACAAGAACTGCCGAGGTCTGAGTAGTAAATTTTAGAAATAATATTTGATTACTAGAGATGCTATTGTGTAAAAAGTCAGCAGCTGTAAACATACTGTATATTTTCTCTCTTTATTGGTAGTACTTGCTGTAGTACTGTTCACTGTCACTCTTATGATGAACATCAGATTTCAAAAAATAACCTGTAAGCATCAACTGTTATCAGTCAGATTCCAAGTCTGTGTCTTATATAATTCTTGCTGAACAGCTTTAAAAATAAAAAAAGGAAAAACTTTAAGGTGGATACAAATCTTATTATTTGGGTCTGGAAAAAATTCAGGTAAGCTTAGCGTGAGGCACAATACTTTTTTTTTTTTGTGTTACTGCTTTAGTAGATTTTGTCATGCATGTTGCATCAGCTACTCTGAAAAGTTGCTTTTATAACCTAAAGTTATTTTTGTGACACTTGTCAAATTTCCAACCAAAAATAACCCAGTGTTTTCTAACTATAAACAGCTAGTGTTTTTCAGAGATATCTCCAACTTTAATTGACGAGAAATAATGGATACTGTCTTATCAGGAGAAGTAGCCTCATGGATTGGGTGTAACGAGGGCCCTCTGCTTAAGATAGCTGTGAGAAAGAGCTAAACGAGTTAAACTGAAGTGCTCCTAAACACAAAGGGAAAAGTCATTTCCCCAAATAAAGACACTGAAAAGTCACACTGAGAGTGGCGAGCTAATACGGCTTGTGGTTTACATGAGATTTTGTCTGTCTCTGAAAGAGAAGCCATTACATGGAAAATTGATAGAAGGTAGGAAGGAGATCCACACAGATGTACTTCCAGCATGGAGCTGGAGTTCAACATTCAGCAGCACTGCTGCATAAAAAAATCTGTAATTGCTCCTGTGCTTACACCATTTCCCCGTTTTGGTGCTAGCATAGCTGTTCGCGCAACTGTGTGGTGAACCAGGAAAGAAATTTCTCTCTCTGAAGAGTTATCTTGAGCATCTGCTTAATGTAGGGGGTGGGTATGGTGGTAGAAACAATCAAGAAATAGGGATATGAGATGCACTGGACACTGCCTCCAGCAACAAAAAGTGGAGAGCACTTTTGGTTGTGATCAAGGAAAAAAAAAGTTTGAAACTGAGCTGAGACATACTTTCTTCATGCTTAGCTTATTTAGGAAAATCAGACTTCAAACAACTTTTTAGATAGAATGAGAATATGCAACACAGTTAATTCATTATCAGTTTTATTCATCCAGTGGAAGAAATCATAACAACTCTGGATGAAGAGGGTGAACAGCAGAAACAAGATTAACTCAGTGGTTTTTTTCCCTTAAAATAAAGGAACTTTGATCTCTAACTTCAGCATACTGGAGAAAGTCATATACACTGTCAGCTACTGAACTATTTTAGATCCTATACATCTATTAAGAATCTTTGAAAAACAGGCCCTAGACTACTTCTGTCTTCTCTTCCTCTAGCGCGATGTTGTTTGCAACCAAATCACTGTATTACTTCTCTGTCTCTCAGCAAAGAATATTTGCCCTTGGGTGTGTTGTGTGTGGGCTTTTCTTTGGTTGGTTTTTTTTGTTTGTTTGGTTTGGGTTTTGTTTTTTTTTACGGGCATTTAAAAAAAAAAAAAAAAGAATGTTGCTTTTCAGTAGTCGGAATCCATGTTCCAATGTGACTGGCCTACTTTTTTTAAATTAGGGTCAGAGCACTGAGAGTTGCAGAATAAATGCTTTCAGTTTTCATACTGAAAGTAGGAGTCGTTCTTATGTCACAGGCAAGTATTTCATTGGTGATATGTTCTGTTGCAAGTTAGCTGGGCATCCTTTAAGAATACGTGCTTCTAAAGAGATTATGCTAAGAAACTCTTCATGCAATTAGGGGATGGAGGAAAAATGTATTATAATCTTAAAAGTAGTACATCCTTCCTTCATCAGTGGATTTCCTTAAATACCGCTTTAATAATGCCTGTAAAGATTACTTGATTATTTAGATGTGCAAAACAGGTGCTGTTCCTGGTAAAAGTACTGGGCTTCATTCTTAAAGCAGTGGATGTGTCTATGAATTTAACCCGGAGTGTTTCTCAGCTCACGCTTAAATAAGAGGCTTTAGGCTAATATGTGTGGATGTTTTAAATGAATATGCTTTGTTTTGGTTTACCTGTTTTTTTTGAAAGTCATTTCTGCTGTACAGCTTGCACATAATGAAAATGGACAGTAAGCAAGATCAACAGCAGAAAATTCTTTACTTAGCAGTCATTTAATGTTATTCCTGCTTTCATTTTGATGATAGTTGGAATGGTAACAAAACCAGCAAGTGAGCAGTCGCAGGACTTTTCAATACACAATGAAGATTTTCCAGCATTACCAGGCTCCAGCTACAAAGACCCAACATCGAGTAATGATGACAATAAATCTGTAAGTAAACCTTAAATCTTCTTTCATTTTGAGTGTTCTTACTTCTTTTGATGATTGTATTTTAAAATGGGCAGTGACTATATTTGTAATATAAGATTTTCAAATTTGCCTCTCTAAATTAACGAGAAATTTTGCGTAAGCAGCATTTCATATATAACTATGTAAATGGAATTTCTCAGGAAGTTTTTTGTCCCAACAGTCGCTGTGACCTTGCTTTCTTAATTTCATATGACTTCTGTATATCCTTTTGTATTTTGGGGAGGGGCCAGGGAGGCACTTGCAAGAACACCTCCAAATTTATTTTTGAGAATTGATATATATTTTTCAAGTTTTGCAATTCATAATTTCTTTTTCTACCAATTCCAGCTCGTTTTTCACTGTTGATGCCTCTCATCAGTAGTAGTAATTTACACATTATAACATCTTTCTTCAAAGCTGTCAAATCCTTTAAAAGTTAGGGGGTACAATATCGCTTCAAGGGAAAATTCTTGATGGGGAAATGAAATCACAGGGAACAAGCTCTTTTATTAGAGACCATTGCATTCATGGGTATGTTGTAGACTAGTGGGATACACGCTGTATCTTAAGTATTGTTGTAATTATCATGCATTAGATATATAGCTTAGATCATAAGATTATGGGGTTTTTTCATTGTTTACTCTGAAAGATTTAGAATAAAAGTTGCTTTTTTATTACAAATGAAAGGTGAGTAAAATTTGGATGGCAGATAAGAGTTTCCTACAGTATTTGACAAAGTGTTCTAGTTTCTGATTGTTTTGTTACTTATAATTACAAAATATATGTTAATCAGGATGGCATTAATACTGATGAGTAGGTAGTAGATGTGACTACAAACTCATGTGAAAACTGAAAAATGCAGCTGTTCAAAAAAGGGGCAGGGGGAAGCCTAGCCCCCAAATGTTGTGGCCAGGTTTATCATGTGGAAAATGTTCTGATACAGTTAGTGTTGAATACACTAAGGAAGGGAGAGAGTAGATGTGATTACATTGTGTTACTGTAGACTTGTGTTAAAGAATAATAAAGAGTAAGAAATAATAGTTATGGAAGATATCTTTTGTCAGTATATGGGCTCCTGGAGTGCAATCACAGTTTTCTTGCCAGACATAGTGTTTACATCTCTTTCCCGATAGTTGCAAATGTGCCAACTGTATATTGCTTGCACCTGAAATTGGCTTGAATTACCTGTTGCTACCTTGTGGAGTGTTACGCGGGAGCAAGACTGTATGGGAAAAATATATGATGTGATGAGTCCAAAATATCCTCTAGTCACAGGCACTTGGCATATCCATTGTATTCAAACTCAGGTGTAAAATATCTTCTTATCCTTTTAGACTGCAAGCTGTAGGGTCATTATTAGCTTTTTTACTGTATGACAGGTATACTTTAGGAAGTGGTAAATATTACATAAGGTTTGTCAACAACTCAAGAGCTTCAGCTTGGTTCAATTGTAGTGCCTAATTTATTAGAGTGACTTGACGTATTGGTTTAGAGCACTTGACTGAAAGATACGGTCAACAAGTTTTTCCATTTTGGTTTGTTTCCATCATACCAACTCTGCAAATTATTTTTAATAGAATTTGAGTACATCAGGCAAAACATCATCCAGCACAGATGGGCCCAAGTTTCCTGGAGATAAGAGTTCAACTACGCAAAACAACAACCAGCAGAAAAAAGGGATCCAGGTGTTACCTGATGGTATGTGTCATTCCACTTTTTCTTCTTTAAAAGTTTTGACGGTCATTTAGATCACCTTGTTGATTGCTCCACTTCTTGAAAGGAGAAAATTAATTTGTTCTTCTTGCCCAGGTCGGGTTACCAACATTCCTCAAGGGATGGTGACGGACCAGTTTGGAATGATTGGCTTGTTAACATTCATCAGGGCAGCAGAGACAGATCCAGGAATGGTACATCTTGCATTAGGAAGTGATTTAACAACACTAGGTCTCAATCTCAACTCTCCTGAGTAAGTTTCTGGTTTTTAGTACTATCTTCAGTTTTGGTTTTATTATGCTGTCATTCATAATAGGCTCACTTAGGTCACATGACTATCAAACCCACAAGATATTTTAGCGAATAAAATTTGAAAATGTAATGACAGTAAAATAAAATTTTCATAAACAAGAGAATTGTGCTTCAAGGCATACTGAGATCTTGTTATGCAAGCTTTCAATAAACCTAGTGGCTTTGCTTATTCTCCTGACTACTTTAGGACTTTCTTCAAGGAATTGACAGTGTATTGTTAATAAATTTCATGTATACATTATTTTTCAAATAATAATATTCCTTGAGGATATCTACACTTAACTGTCAGCAGTTTGGGGGGTAAATTCGATTTATATTGATGTAATAACAAACAGAGCATCTGCAGTGTTACCCTGCACCAAGGATTATTTTAAATGAAAATGTGGTTTTATAGTTAACTTGCAGCCGTTCAGTTCACGTAGGTTTAGTCATCTAGGCTTCCTGTAGAGGCAGTGGGGAGAAAAGCAGTTAGCGACTGCACTAGTGGTGAAATAAGTGCTTAAGATAGATGAGATGGGATGAATCGCCAGCCCAGGGTGGCTGTCTTTCTCCACTAGTTATAGAAGGAACCTAGATCAGTTTGGACAAAAATGCTTATTTAATTTCTGGTACTCTGACTTTCAGCTGAGAATCTCCCATCATTTTGTTTCAGCAGGGATTTACATAGCGTTAGCCTTATAGACAGAGTAGTATATGCATTTTAAGGTTTGCACATAATGTATTACCGAAACAAAGACCAAACAGCATACACACACAGTTTCCATGTTTCACAAATTTATATGGAGCTGCACTCTGAATGCATGAGTTCAGGGAAGACTGATGAATGTGGATATCAAGGTGAGAGGGAAAGCATAGGAAAAATGCCTCCTGATTTTTTTTCCTGTCTTGAAATAATTGGCATGAATTTACATATGTATTTCTAGAGATGTAACTTTTTAGAAATTGCCACTTCTAGAAATTCTTTCTGTAGAGCTTGCATCAAAACTTAGTCAAATTGTTATGCCATTGGCATTTTTAAAAATATTTCAAAACAATCATCCAAAGTCAGCCTTCTAAATACGATTGTCTGTAGTTATTTGCAGAATGTGTTAACATAATATCTTCTTCACTTGTAGTGTTAGTCTCGCAGGTCACTCCTCCATTGAATCCCGTAGTTTCCCACTCCCATCCCCTTCTCCCACAACATAAAGAGAATGCACAAAGAACAGTTATACTGACCATGGGTTGCTGTTTTTCCTTGGTAGTCCCAGAGCTTACAGCACTGACTGGGAGATGGGTCTCCTGGATCTACATGATACTGAAGTAGTTTGCTGTTCTCAGTATGGATTGCTCAAACATAATTTGATGATGATCAGCTGAAAGTAGAATGCCTTTGCTCATTAAAATAATTTCGAGTACATCGGTATCTGAATTCTTGAGCTGTTCCTAGATACAGGTGGAATTTAGTTATGTCGTTTGGTTATATAGCTACTTTCTCTAGATGTTGGCATGCAGAATAGTAGTAGTGATTCTGATAGTGTTATCACTTTTGGTGATACTATTGGATATTTTATTCAATGTTATTTATTACTTTTAATGACTAACATAAAGTTTAAGCTTAAACATACCTATTGGAAAGTCTACGTAAAACTAGTACCTCATTGCAGAGGAATACTAAACATGCTTTGATGTGATGACTTGTAGCTGTGTTATGCAGCTCCTGAATAGATCATCGAAATTATTAGTGTGTCTTTGTACATAAGCAGTATATATACCTGGCATGCTGCTGCTTTTCTTTAGCAGATATGCTGTAAATAGCTGGATTTTTAGAAGTTTTTAACATTTAATTTCTGTGTATAGGGTATTAAGGGTCTTGGAGGGGCTAGCACTAATATTTTATCCAGACAGTTCTATATCAGAAAGCTGGGTTTATTTTATACTACAGAAAAGATTTGCAAACAGCCTGTGCAGTCCTCAGTGTCTGGCCTGCCATCTTGCCTTATGTTAAACATCCTTTGCTTCCTTTATGAATTGTCGTTTGAAAAACTAAAAGCACTTCACATGTGGAAAGCCAAAATTTTCTGCCTTGTGAGGTACTTCTGATGGTAAAGATACCTGTCTGACTTAAACACTTAGCACAATAAATGTGCTGTTAGAAACAAAATTTTAGAATTCTGTATATATCTCTAATGGTTTGAATTAACCCTTCTAACTCCTAGTTTTATATAGATTTTTCCATGCAGGTAGGTTAAGATTTATTTTGGTTGTTGAAAGAATGATTATGTATTGCCTGTACAGTCCTGTATTTCTTTGTTAAGAAATATGCTTCTAATTCCTTAGGATAACTTAAAATTCTACATAAACAAAAATTAAAAAATGCAGCATTAGTACATTTAATTCTTCAGAGATTATGTAGCTGTTTCTTCATGTCCAGAAGCTTTCCGAAATATTCATCAAATAGACTGTAGGCTGTCCAATACTTCCTTGAAAAATGTTAAATTAGTAGAGTTTTATTTGTATCATAGAGGGAATGCTGTGCAGTCCCGAGTCTGTAAAATCCTGGATTCTTTGCCCTAGGAAACCAAACCTCTAGGGCACGCATGAGGTGATGGCGTTGCAGGACGCTCCTCTTCTTGGGGCAATGCCTATCCATGCTTTCAGTAGAAGGAATGGTTTAGTTCTTTTCAACATCTGCAGATTCTGCCACGGAAATCTTCTTTCAGGCTCTAAAGCATAAGTTTTTGCTAACAGTAAGATTAACTAGCCTAGAGTAAGGTTGACACCACTTGATCAGTGTAGTTTTTGGCCCATATAGCTCAGCTGGGAGTTGGTTGTGTTCAGGTAATTTGGTAGGTTTCTGATTTTCTTTTTTTTTTTTTAAATAGTAATTATTAGGCCCTTGACAAGAAGGAAGCAAGATTTGATTGGGTGTATCATACTCAAGTTTCATTTACAAAACTTGCCGTAATAGCATGTTATCATGGATAATTAAAAGCAGGCTGTAGCTACCTGCCAAAAGTACATTTTGCTCAGTCCTTTTTTCACTTTTTTAACTGTTAATTAGAAAACTCATTCGTCAGTACATCAGTCATTGTAGTAGAGTTTGAAGGTTCATAATTTTCTCTTTATTAAACTAATGGCTTCCTTTTTTTTTTTTAATATATGTTAGCAGAATCTATATAAAAGGAAAATATTAAATTATAATAGACTTGTGTTCATGTTGTGCTGGGATTCAATTTATTTGTTGTCAGTGAAATTTAGAAGAGTGGAATCTTTACTGGTTAGTTTTAAAAAAAATAACATCTGCCAGTATAAGCTTTTCCTCACCTTTTAAATCATAGGCTAATAAATCAGAACCCACCAGGCTTGTGAAAAACCTTGTGTAAAATTGGATCCCTAAAAAGGGTTGGGATCTCTGGCACCTAAGTTAAAGGAATGATACAAAAAAGGAAATCTCGGCAGGAAATCTCGGCCCTGTAGATTCCCATGGCAGTTTAAACGCAATCTTACTCTGCGTATTAAAAAGAAAATGAAGAAATGTAACTATTTTAGGGTAGTGGGCTGGAAATTTCCTTTTCTCTTTCCTTCTCATGCCAGGTAGCGATTTTGGTTGCGTAGTATGGTTTTTAGGTTTGTGAGCTTGGTTGTGGGGATTTTTTGTTTGTTTGTTTTGATTTTTGTTTTTAGTTTTGATAAATTTGTGCTTTTCTTTTTCTTCAGAAATCTTTATCCCAAATTTGCATCACCCTGGGCATCATCACCTTGTCGACCTCAAGACATAGGTAAGAGAGAAATAACTATTTAATTCAATATTAATATTTGCAAATTATATTCATTTACATGTCTTAATAGTTGCATCAATTCCGATTCTTTTTTAGACTTCCATGTTCCATCTGAATACTTAACTAACATTCACATTAGGGACAAGGTGAGTACGTGTGTGTGTGTGCTTGTTTTTTGTTAATTTATTACCGGTAATATTCTAAATTTTCTTTCAGATAGGTAATGTTCAAAATCAGTGCATTTTATGGATGTCCTCAGTCTTTTTAGGAACAGTGATGCATTAACTGGCTAATTGGACACATCATGCACGCATTCCACCTTAGAAAAAGAAAGGGAAGACAAAGCTGAGAATGTGCATGGTTAGCTACAGAACGCATTATGTTTTTAAGTGTGCCCTTCATGCAAAGCAGAAGTTCGTTATAATCCATATACTGTAATATTCAAATGCCATATTAAATTGAGATATTTCTTCTTGAGATAAGCTCAGAATTGCGGTTCAAGATATTCTCACATTTATCTGTTGCTTTCCATATCTACATGAATAGGGATTTTTTTCTTAGATGTATTTTCTTTCAACTATTGTAGTTCTGTAAGAAGGATCACTGAGAAATATTGTAAGAAGTTGTAGTAATGTTACATAATAGAGTGTGAAGTGAGCAAATACATGTAAATGTTTGGGTTTTACTTTTTTTTATTTAAAAAAAAGTAGATGAGGATACACAGGTGCAGGGAGAAAATTCTGTCTTGCTGATTCATTACTTCTGTTTATTTTTCTGTTGTATCTTTTAAGTTGGAAAGGTTAACTAGAAGTGAAGAAAAATTGTTGTTTTAACAATTATTACTCTTGTTATATTAGAGTATCCTTTGCAACACACGTAGGATGGAAGCACGTTCTGGATGTATCCTTGTGTTATTTAAGTGGGATAGTATGTCTTAAAACATTTATCTATTGTGATTTTTCATCCTCGTTTTCTTCAATCTTTTGCAGCTGGCTGCAATAAAACTTGGCCGATATGGAGAAGATCTCCTGTTTTATCTCTATTACATGAATGGAGGAGATGTATTACAGCTATTAGCAGCAGTAGAGCTGTACGTTCAAACTATTTTGTCAGTCTTATATGATTTAATCTATTGCAGTAATGAAGTAGTAGATGTAAAAAAAAAAAAAAACCAACCCAACAAGTTAAGACACTGAAAACAGACGCTTAGTCAATCTAAAGCTGGAAACCTTTTTTTAAATACCTCCTCCAACCTTGGTTCCATTTTGTACTTTTTTTTTTTCATTCATATAGCAGAAATCAAAAGTTTGTCTCATGAATTTTGCGTTATTATGAAACACTGTGGAAAAAGTGGCAAGTGCCAGTCATCATTAAACATCTAGCTTATCTTCAGCAAAATGAAAAACAGTAAATAATCTTAAAAAGAATTTGTTGTTTGAACCTACCAGACTTCTTAAAGTTTCATATGTGATTAGTTTGAGGTGTAATAATTGTATGGAAGAGGTATGAGATCACAGGTATAATGATGTCTTAGAAATTTTGTTTTGGTTTTGAATGCATTGCATAGTTTTGATCGAAACCCTTAAAATTGTATTTTACGAAGTCAAATTCAGATAAATAACACTAAAAATTATTTTTCCTTCCTATTCAAAATGAAAGATTTAACCGGGATTGGAGATACCACAAAGAAGAACGAGTATGGATCACCAGGGCACCCGGCATGGAGCCAACAATGAAAACCAATACGTACGAGAGGGGAACATATTACTTCTTTGACTGTCTTAACTGGAGGAAAGTAGCTAAGGTATCTCTTTTCCCTTGTGCAGATTTTTTAAGTCTGTCAACCATGTATTTTTAAAAGGACAAAAGTAAAACCCAACCTCCTCCCCAAAAATCTCAAACTTTTTAACCTCCTATTGTTTAAGTTCATTGTCTCAATTTTGGATGTGTGAGGGAATAGAGATTGCCTAAAACACTGGCTTGTTTGTGGAAAAGGAGGAGATGTCTCTCTATTTGCTGTGTTCTTTGGGAGGTACAGGGATGTAGTACTCATGAGTTTTGTTGAGATTGAAACCTTTTTTCAAGTACAGAATTATAGAATAGAAAGCATTATTTGGCACTTCAGAAACTGTGCTTGCAGATATTTTATGGTTTTGCTTTAGAAAATTCAATAGGGAGCTACCGCCTCTCACTTTGGAATTAAAACTAGCTATGCGGAGTGTTATTTGGGGGGTTGGCTTTTTTGTTTTGGTTTGGGTTTTTGTTCTGTGGTTTTTTTGGTGGTGTTCCTCCCCTGCCCGTCCCCATCCCCCCCTCCCCGCCCCGATATTTTCTGTCCTTGAGCATACTGCAGGACTTTTGTGCTCTGTTGTTTCAGTGTCAGAGTACTTTGAAATAAATCACTTCTTTTAGGGTGGAGGCATATTTTCATGGTGCTTGTTTTCTGTATTCTAGGCCAAGAGGCTTTAAAAAAAATCTGAAAGCTATGGTCTTCTCCCTTCCCACTTCCGATAATCTATTTGTTCCTTTCTGTCCATGAATATCGTCAGTAATGTTCACCCTTTACTTGTTAGCTGAAGAAATTCATAGAATTGTGCTTCATTTTTTCCACCTTCCCCCAAAGATAATTAATTTTCAGCATCTTCCAACTTCAAAGACCATCCCACTTCCAGTTCCAGCTTTTAAGACCATCTTGTACAATGCCTTTTCCTTGCTGCATCCTGATTCCTGTGATTTCCTTCTCCACTAAAGCAAAGATTTTTCTAATGCAGATATGTGCGAAAACACTATTTGAGAAATCAGGAGTGCTAACATTCACTAACCTGGCAAGAGGTATGCTCTTTTGAAAATAGCCTGCCCTACTAGGTGATGCATTCAGCTCCAGCTGGAGCTGAAAAAAAGATAAATTCACAATATACATGCAACCATTACACCTACCTAGAGTCTGTTTGAGTTAAATAGTTCGTCAAGAATCTCATTCCCCATTTAAGTTTGGTTATGTGAGATTTTATGGATGTGGCATGATTTTGCTTCAAGTTTTAACTGACATGTTGGATTCATCGATGAAACGGCAAACATAAAACTTCCATGTCAGACCTTCTTTAGATACAGTATCGCACTGTTGCTTTTCTCTAAAAAACACTTAACAGATCAGACCACATTAATCTTGAAGCCTTCAACTCAACAGATGTGATTCCAGTGTGTTGGAACTATGTTTTGTGGTTCCACGTGCTTAGGTATTTCATTTAATCAGAAATCTTTTCACCTGAAGCCTAACTTACGAATTGTTTGCTGAAAAGGCATTTCATTTCTGTGAGCAAGTTGCATCTATACACTTGGAGATTATGAAATACTGCATTAGATAGTTAGATGTCTGTTGATGTGTTTTTTACATCAGCTTTAAATTAAAGGGAGTAGAGTTCAGTGTCCTCCCCTCTATTAAGTGCATCACATTTCTTCCTAGCCAGTGTACTGAAGTTTGCCATCATCTAGAGATTAACTAGATATGATGCTCTTTTTTTTTTCCTTCCCCCCTCCCCCCAGTAGATTTCCTTAGTCTGTGCAAGCTCCCCTCAGAAATTAGTGGTTTAGTTGCCCCTAATGATACGGGAGGCTCTTCAGTCCATTTGCATGCGTGACTCGTTGCCTCTGCTGCCTTTCCTGTGACCGTAAGAAAACCAAGATTTTGTAACTGAAGGTTTTAATGGCAAGCCCTACTTTTACGGTTTTTCATCTGTGCAAGGTAATGCCAGAACTTTTAAGCAAAAGCATCACTCCCCTCAAAAGAAAACCCAAACAAAAAGAAAGTTTTAATTTCTAGTCGAATTATTTATTTGCTGCTTGGTATACTTTCTTAGGTTTCCCAAGACGCTGTTTAAAGCTAACTTATTATTACGTAAGATCATCAGAGGGGAAGTAGTTACCTTTTGAAAGGATAGATTTCTTCTTTGGAGTCAACTGAATATGTTCCATTTATTTATGAGCAATAAGAGCCTCACATAGGTGCATGTATTGATGGATCAGATTGAGGTTTTTACCCTATGTGGAAACACAACTTTTTTTTTTTTTTTTTTTAAGGAGGTAGTCATGCCCATTGTATAAGATTTAGTAACCTCTTTAGTGTCTTTTCTTTTTCTACCTGTAGTAAATGTGTGAAGCTGCTCCTTGATGCTTAAGCATTACTTTTGAAGACAGTATTTTCTCTGTTTGGAGTCCTGAGTGCTGTCCCAAAATTCAGCACCCAGTGCTTGAGTTGTTAATTAGTACATTACATCCTTCCTCTTTAAAAGTAGAGCTGGCTTCATCTGGTAGGCATTGCTGGAGATACTGTGGTGGAAGAGAGAGATGAATCACTACTGTTCTCCAAATGATTTTGCCCAAGATCTACACAGATTCTCTTCTCTTTACTTTGCATGCTGAAAATAATTCCCCCAACTTTAAGAAGCAATTGGTAGCTAGTAAGGAGAGGGATAGTATTTTCTAAAGATTTGCACCTCCAGCGGTAAGCTAACAAGGAACGTGATTTCCCCACCACACACAGAGTAGTGTCCATAGGAAGAGACATCTTTTCTTTAGGCTTGTGTATTTCTTAATGTAAAAATTGGAACTGGAATATTATTTTGAAATTTTTATTTAATTTTAGTTTGGTGCAAAATACAGCAGGCAAGTTGAGTATTGATCACAGGAAGCTAGAGAAGGATTTGGGGAAAAATAGCTATTTTGTTACATGGAAAAGGAATCACTTGCTAGAAATAATTCTGTGATGTTTCCATCTATGATAAATAAGAACTTACGTATGTCAGGTGTAATCTTGGCATTGTATGGTAATGTTGTTACCTCTGATATTTAATTTCTGGAGTTGACATTTCCTTGGAGGAAGACTAACATAGACTTACCATAACAAGAATGGCAGTATTTGATAACTCCACGTTGCTTTGAATGCAAAGAAAAGTATGGCCAAGTAATTTTTTTCTAACAAACGCAGAAGTACTAATTAGTGTTTCAGGAAATTAAAAATATAAGTAGCTGGAAGGAAAAGAGAATTCTGATAAATTGCAGTCTCTTACTATAACTGCTACATTATTAGTGAATGCTGGGAATATCAGTTCCTTAGAAGGCCACAATAGTAATTGCTGCTTAATGATTTCATTAGTCCTTTTTTGAAGCAGTCGGACAAGAATTATTTCTGGTAAATTACTGTCTTGTATATATGCAAATTCAATTGTTTTTCAAGGTGCTTTATAAATTTGTCTGTTGTTCTAGTGTATATGCTCAAATATAGGGCAGCGCATATTTCAACGTGTTGTGCTTTGCAGATACGGTGCATTATGCATTATGAGCTTATGTATTTATTGTGCCTGTTTTAAATTATACTGCATTACGATAGATGCAGTGAAATATAGCTGTTTACTTTGGATAATATTACTCAATCTTAAGACTAAGTTTGTAAAAACATAAACTAGACGTGGTTTAACAGATTTTTTGATAGTGTCCTAGAATGGTTTTAACAAAGCCCAGTAAAGTAGACTGGATGACTTCTTTCAAGAAAACATCAAATAAATATATTTATCTGTTTTATTAAGCCGTAGGCTCTATTTTGGTATTCCTAATGGATAATAGACCGAAGATGGAAATGCAGCAAAACAGCTGAGTAATGAGACAATTTCTAAACTGTTAGGAAATAAAATCAAATTACTTCTATGTTGATACCTGGTAGTAAATAGTGAAAAAATATGAATGAAAACAAACTTCAAATTCACCTTAAATGCAAAACAAAATGCAGGAAAATGCTGATTACAGATATGTCTGTATATATGGTTTTTCATCCTAGGGCATGTGGAAAGTACAGTATGGTTAAAGACACTGTGATTTTTTCACTGAGGATTTGGCTGTAGAGTTTGTTGTTGAGGAGACATGAGAGAAAGACAAATGAGAGAGGAAGGGAAGTGGATATGGGACCAAAAATGCCTTCTACAATTGCACATTTACTGAAATCCCGATTTAAATTGTCTGAAGGAAACTGTCTGGAATTTCTCCTTTGAAAAGTAAGGAGAATTAATCCCTTTTAAGGAACAAGATTATAAAACCCTTTTAATTTGGTTTTGTAGTTACAAAACGTGGAATTCTTTATGGGAGAGAAGGTTAAATTTCCAAGTGTTTATTTGCTAGTAAGGGTTGCTGCCTATATTAAATTACTCCCCATCCTTTTAAGATCAATATTAATTGAAATACTTTTATAATTGCTAGAAAGTTAAACTTGTTCTTCTAATAGAGATGTGCCATAGCATTTTAATTCGGCCCCTAATTTAAATTTGGATCTCTGCATCTATCTTTAAGCCAGTATAAATGCTGCTTTTTCGGTCCCATTTGGAATTTTTGAGCTAACCGTGGGATTTCTGTCATCTCCTTTGGTGGACTTACACAGTCCGGAATATTTTGTCCTCAGGACACTTCCTATTCGGCTAACTTTTTGTTTTGTTTTGTCTATTAATGCTATGGATCACCTTAAGCAATTCTCTTCTATCTTTAGGATTTTTACCTATTATTCTTTGTACACGTGCAGGCTGATGTAACTTTACCATCAAAACAAGTTTTCAGGATGACACGAGAAGTGATTGATTTCTTTGCATAGAACAATTTAGTGTCGTACATGTGCTATAAGTTTCCACACACATTTAGTATTCATTATTCTTGGTTAATAAAAGGTATTTAATTTTTAATAATTACTTCCATGTGGAAAATAAAACAATTTAACAGATGTTTGTCAATGGATAAATGGCATTTTTACACTTTATTTGTATCTGTTTATATTAAAACATATCAGTGCTACAGTGCACATCCTAAACCACAGTGGCCCCTGGAATCAAAAGCAAAAACATAAAGTATGCCTGTAATACAAGTATTTTTCTATATGTAATAAATAATTGTCTTTTAGTTTTCAAAAATATTTGGTCAATGAGTTCTTTTTTTGGTATTGTCAGATATAACTTTAGGTGTTCTTACACACTACTGAACATTGGACTTGAGCATTGCTGACACTGGGATGCAAATCAAAAAGGCTGTTCTAAGCCTGTTTATTTTAAAAATCGATGACAGTTTGAAGTATCAACTCAGGTACTTCTAAAGAAACTTCGGTAGGAAATCATATTCCTTCTTCTAAATGAGGGGCTTCCAATTTGTGGCACACAGGGGACTGCTCAAGCTACTGAGCATTTCTTTCAGACACACACTTTGCTCGCAGCTACTACTGCCAATAGGAGGGACACAACCACCTCAAGTTTGGAAAGCCCTTTTTAGGCTACTGATACTGTCTTACCAGTTTAGGTAGCCGTTTTCCATGGGTAATTTTGAAGGCATTTCAGAGCGTGTGGAGGTTCAGGTAGCTGACTGAAGCTTTTGCTATTAACCCTTCTCTTTGTTTACAATTTTGTTAAAGAAGCAATTCCCCAACAGCTGACCATAGATTGATAGTGATCTGCAGACCCTTCCATGTTTATGTGCAAAATGGCAACTTCGAAAGCCATGAATGGGAGAAAAGTTTGAGTGGTATTTTTTCTGTTATAAAAAGACTTCAGAATTGCTGAAGATCCACCCAACCTAAACCAGCCTTTGACACCAAAATACCCGCATAGATCTGTACACCTTCATCTTGCTTCTGTCAAAAGGAGGGAGCAGGCATCTCTTCAGTATCAGCACATGCATATGTATCTGCACAACAAGAGAACATGCACCAGCTGGCATGCAGTGTTAGTTAGGAATGCCAAAAGCAATTGACTTGTGTATATATAACCTAAAAAAGCCCAAACAAACCCACCACCAAAATAAAAAAAACCCAACCAACTGAAAAAAACCCCCTTGGTTGGAGTAGCGAGCAGGGAACCAGAAATGAAGCAGATGTGCAGCACTTCAGTGCAGATGGCTGTGACCTCACATAGGTTTTGCTAGGATTTTCCAGGTTTAGGGACAGTGTTCTCTGGGGAATACAGGCTTACTGAATGCTTAGCATTTTCCCCTACTTTGTTTCCTTACCATGCTAAATGTTCTTTCTATGCTAGATGCACCTTGTTTCGCCTTAAAGAAGAGAAGTCAGATTTCCTAGATTTTATTTCTGGTCTTGCATTGACTTGGTCTTTAATTTAGTTTGTCTACCTGTAAAAACTGAAATATTACACTATTTAATCACTTTAGGGAGTGTTCTAAAATGATCTACTCACTACTCCTGTGTTTCTATCCATATATAAAAATAGCGGAGTAAGTTTGCTCTGCAGATACAGGTGATGTTCTGCTGAGGTTCTCCACTGAGTTAGGCCAAATAAGTTACTGCGTGTGTCCAAAGTAGCTGTTGTTGAATTACCAAGTAGCAGCATTAAAGAACAATTCTGAAGCTTCTGCTTGCTCTGCTTCTTGTACGAAGATAAAATGGGGATGAGACACAGTTAAACTGCTGAAAGGATCTGAAAAATATGAGGCTTAAGTAAGTCCTTGTACATTTTTGCATGAATGAAGTAACAAGCACCAAATGTCCCAGTGCACTAATTAGGATTGTGTGCACAAATTAAGGTCACAGGGAAGGAAACTGCGCTTTTCACTGTAATAATCAGATGCATTTAGACATCGGGGCGGTTACAGTCTTAGTAGTAGTAGTAGTTGCTATAGTCAGAATACGAATTCCTACTGGATCTGTGAAGTGTTTTACAATTATGCAAACCAGACATCCTCAAACAAAAGTCAGGTGATTTTGCCAGTGAGACGTAAAGCTGCTTATTTATGAACCAAGTAACCTGTGTGGCATCCAAGCACATGGGCAAAGATTCTTATTCTGTGTGGTTGTTTATAAAACACCAGCAGAATTCCTCATGAAAGACGTTGGCAAAGCATGATGTAGGAACAAGGAGCTCAAGATGTACAGGAGGGTTGGGTGAAGCTTAAATCTGAGTATGAAATGTGGTGGAATATTTTGCTAAATTCTGGCTTGAATAGGTTGCAGTAGTTTGTCTGTAGCATTTTAGATAATGTTCCCCAATTTTGTACTAAGAAGGAGAAACCTAGCTAGTTTAACTTAGAGTTGGGTCTGGTAGTATGGCACAAAACACCCCAGAACTTCAGGTCAAAATAAGTCTCTGTACATCTGAACTGTGGAAAGACAGAAGCTTTTATTCATAATTCAGCTCATGCCATGATTGTATATTTGTGTGTTTTGTGTGTGCGCGTGTATATATATATAAAATCGCTTGAGATCGTACCTAGGGTTCTGAGAGTAATGTAACATTAAAAAGAATAGGAGAGCCTACGTGTTGCAGGTGTAATGGCTGAGGATATTGACTTTTTCCTAGTTAAAATATAGAATCCCAGAGGGCAAAATCATGTGTTTCTGCCTTGAGATAAGTTAGGACTTGATCTCTTCCGTATTTGTGCTTTTCAAGTACGGCTGGTAGAACGAACGGTTCTCGACAGGTAAATGATATGTTGTTTTATTTGGTTTTGTCTTTTTTTTTATTTTAATTGTAGGAGTTCCATCTGGAATATGACAAACTAGAAGAAAGGCCTCATCTGCCATCAACCTTCAACTACAACCCTGCTCAGCAAGCCTTCTAAAGACTTCCCTTTTCTTGGGGTATGGCTGTCTCAGCACAATACTCAACATAACTGCAGAACTGATGTGGCTCAGGCATCCTGGTTTTAATTCCTTGAGGATCTGGCAATTGGCTCATGCGAAGGGTCACCATTTGAGGTCCTGCCTTACTAATTATGTGCTGCCCAACAACTAAATTTGTAATTGTTTTCCTTTAGTTTGAGCAGGGTCTGAATTTTTGTTTTTGTTTTATTTTTTGCCAGCAGACAAGCTTGGGTCTGTAAAGACAAGCGAGTACACTGACAAAAGTTTACCATTTAGTTTTCCAAAATGTAAAAACAAAAAAAAAAGAAAAAAGACAAAAAATTAGACAACAAAATTTGCATTGTTCATTGTAGCACTATTGGTAATAAAAAATGTTTGTGCATTTTTATGTGAAGATCCTTCTCGTATTTCATTTGGAAAGATGAGCAAGGTTTGCTTCCTTCATTTTACTTCCCCTTCTGTTTTTGAAAGGCAGTTTTCGCCAAGCTTAATGCAAGAATATCTGACTGTTTAGAAGAAAGATATTGCCACAGTCTCTGGTTAGTTTCCAGAGTTGTGTATTACTGAGCTTCATCTTTCCAGAATGAGCAAAACACTGTCCAGTCTTTGTTACGATTTTGTAATAAATGTGTACATTTTTTTTAAATTTTTGGACATCACATGAATAAAGGTATGTATGTACGAATGTGTATATATTATATATATGACATCTATTTTGGAAAATGTTTGCCCTGCTGTACCTCATTTTTAGGAGGTGTGCATGGATGCAATATATGAAAACGGGACATTCTGGAACTGCTGGTCAGGGGACTACTTTGTCGCCCTGTGCACTAAAGGGCCAGATTTTCAGCAGCCAAGGACATCCATACCCAAGTGAATGTGATGGGACTTAAAGAAGTGAACTGAGACAATTCACTCTGGCTGTTTGAACAGCAGCGTTTCATAGGAAGAGAAAAAAAAAAAAAGATCAATCTTGTATTTTCTGACCACATAAAGGCTTCTTCTCTTTGTAATAAAGTAGAAAAGCTCTCCTCACTGCAGTGTTGACTTTGATTTGAGATTGTGAAATTATTTCTTCAACAATGAAAAACGGAAAGAAAAAAAGTTGAAGTATTAAAACCATCGAGCTGTGCAGTGGTTAAGACACTTGAAGAGTCTTTTTGCTGCTGACAAGTAAATTTATGAGAGGGTTTTATATTCTTTTCCACAGTAAAGTTTCCACAGCCAAAAAGTTTGGTTAACCTTGGTTTCAGATCCCCTCTCTATAAGAGCAAATGGCAAATCCTTTTTAGAAAGGCGGGTGGGTAACGTTGCGAACGATAGAAAGACGCTTCAAGAATTCACCACAGAAGGAACACTTGGAAGAAGCTTGGTTTAGAACGGATCATAGCTTAGTTCCAGGTTGGTATTTTCCCCACTTAAAACAGGAATACATTTCATTCGATGATCACTAGTACTTGAACTTCCAGACACAAACGAACGTGAATATACACCGGTTCTGAAAATCGTAACCGTTCTCTAGAGCGGAGGAAGAAAAACCTGAACCGTTTGGATAGTTTCCTTTTTCTTGATGTGACTGCCACTTCTCATTGAGTTGCCTCTGGTGATGCAAACCATTTCAAAATGCCTGAAGTTACCAAGGCAAGAAAAGACAACAAAACACGTTATCACTGAATCCGTGGGGTTTTATGTTTAGGTTTTAACCTGTTTTTCTCTGTAGTGCAAAAACACCTTGTTGGCATGTATTGAATTATGCTTGGAAATTGGACCATTAATGGCATTGCTGTGGTTCTGTATCAGGCCTATAGCAATTTTGAATTCTACGCTTTTTAAATATCTATTTTAAGATGATAGACATAAAATATAAGTCTATTGATTATAATTTTTTTATTATTATTAAACCAAACTGCTTTCTCAACTGGAAAGAAGAGGATGGTTATAATCCAGATGATGGCTAACGCAGCTGAAAAAGATGGTGGCTTTTTCTTTTTCTCAAATTAGAGCTGATACAAACATACTTTTGACTATCCAAACATGAATTTATATGTTTTAAAAATGATAATTTTCCAAAAGCATCTTGCTCACTTGACAGTGTTACATTTTTTCCTGTCAGAGGTCTGCTGTGATCTTTGCTTTTTTTTTTTTTTTTTTTAAAAGGATCCCTGAAACCGATGTTTACATCTTCAAATCAAATGTGATTATTTCTTATTATATGGGTTTGGGGGGTTTTAATGTCATTTTGCCTCTGCATAGCCAATCTCATGGAAACGAACAACAGATATGGTAAAGGGAGCAAGATAAGTTACACTAAAAATGTTATCTTATACTCCTAAATACCTGTGGTACTTTAAAAACAATTAAGCTGAAATTGAGAACCTAAGTTCTCCAAAAAGTTACTTTGATGATACAGTTGCATTCAACTGCATGATACTGCAAAAATGTGAGATGCCTGATTTTAGCAAACTTCTCACCTGTGAGCAAGGAACTGGTGCTTTGCTCCTTCCAAGGGGAAGAACAGTCTGGCTCTCATTTGTCGATTAAATAAGCATATATGGAGACTTTAAAACCTGTGACTTCATTTCATGTTATCTTTGCTTTTTTTTTTTTTTTAAAAGGATCCCTGAAACCGATGTTTACATCTTCAAATCAAATGTGATTATTTCTTATTATATGGGTTTGGGGGGTTTTAATGTCATTTTGCCTCTGCATAGCCAATCTCATGGAAACGAACAACAGATATGGTAAAGGGAGCAAGATAAGTTACACTAAAAATGTTATCTTATACTCCTAAATACCTGTGGTACTTTAAAAACAATTAAGCTGAAATTGAGAACCTAAGTTCTCCAAAAAGTTACTTTGATGATACAGTTGCATTCGACTGCATGATACTGCAAAAATGTGAGATGCCTGATTTTAGCAAACTTCTCACCTGTGAGCAAGGAACTGGTGCTTTGCTCCTTCCAAGGGGAAGAACAGTCTGGCTCTCATTTGTCGATTAAATAAGCATATATGGAGACTTTAAAACCTGTGACTTCATTTCATGTTGCACTCTGGGTTGAAGCAGGAGAAACAGGTTTAAACAGAAAACAAGGTGTAAAATTGGAAACGCTTCTTAGCTGATACCATATTAATTAAAAAAAATTAAAAAAAAAAAAAACAAAACATACTGCCTCTTTTTTCTGAAAGGAGGAAAACCTCAGCCCTCATTTACAACATTTACACACGTGGCAAATTGGCAACTGAATTGACCTGGAGATTTTTAACACCGACAATTAACGTCTGAGGCTTATTTAATATGTTTGTACATTCCACTAACACTGAGTAAGGGGAGAGAATAGAATACTATTTTAAAAACATGTTTATTTGAGGTGGGTTTTTTTCCCCATAATTATAGCGTTGTACAACAACATGCAAGGTAAGTTCTGAGTAGTAAACCTGGTGTTCTTGGAAACAAGTAGAAGTATTCCTATTTCTGGCCTGTTTAACACGCTCTCATATTCATTGCTCCTTACTGCATATTGTTTATAAATTTTTATGGAGTAGTTAGCTCCAGTTTGTCTGGAAATCCACTACCCTGAATTTCCAGGGCTAAAATGGGTTTCACCCACTTGACTATCCCGAGTATTGCAGAAAACACTTGCAGTTGTTACTTTAACAGTTATTACTCAAGCCGCCCTGCTTGTGGGAAAATCGAGGGTAGCAGGGAGTCATGGAGGAAGGAGGTAAGGACACTCCACCGGGGTGTGTGAAAACGAAGGAACAAACAAAAAACCACCCGGCACTCAATCTCCTCTGCCTTGGTACCTGGTGCCGCAAATACTTAAGCACGTGACAACCTTCATGGGCTTGATTAATCTAATTGAAGACCCAAGTAATCCAGGGAAGCCTGCAGATACTCACAGGGGTAAAACTATTTTGCACGTGACTGTGCCCTCCGTTCAAGTGTCGGCTGTGTGTGGGTCAGGATTCATGACTGACCACACTGCTCTTTCACAGATGTGACATCTGTGCGGTACAAAGATGTATAATCTTGTCACTTTGCTGCGTGTCACATCTGAAATCCTCTCTATCCCTAAGCCAGTATTTTTTGTACTTTTCTGTTTCCATTTTACGGTTTTCATGGAAAAAAAAAA